GCGGCGGCTGCGGTCACGCCCCCCCCCGCCCACTGTCTTCCCCAGCAGCCGTCGGCCCGCCTTACCTAGCTCGCAGCCCGCCCTCTCTCTTCTCTGCTCCTCTGCGCCTCTCCTTCCATGCCCTCCCCTCCCGGGGCGTAATTCACCCCACACCTCTCCTGGCTCCTACGCCGCGGTTCGCCTTCCATTTTCCCCGCGAGATCTGGGGCGCTCGGTCCGCTCGGGTCCAGCTGGCGAACGTGGCTCGCTCGGACACCCCGGCGGCCGCGACGCGGGCTGCAGCCGCCACGGGCGCGAGCACGTTCGGGTCGCCCGGGATCTTCCTCCCCAGTGCCCGCCCTCGCCACGCCTGGCGGGCAGCACGTGTTTGCTGGGCTCAGAACGCGGGTCTGCCCGGATTCCGTTAGCCAGGATGTACTAGCGGCTCCCACCCCACCGCTCCCGGGTCTAAGGAGCCAGTGACCTGTAGTCGCACGTGACTGGTTCTTTCCTTCCATCCAAGAAAAGCATTTTGAGTCTAGTGCAATTGTGGCTATGAAGATTTACTTTTTTCTTAAGAGCTTGAGAATGGAGATTAGGGAAGAACTCAGATAGCTACGTACGAAGGTTTTATTCAACAATCGTACATTCAAGTACTGGGCGCTGTTTATGGGACTGAGAAATCCATAGGTGAACAAGGTACAAATGATTTCTGCCTTGTGAGTCTTAGACTAGTAGAATAGATGGGCATTTTGAATGATAGTTACCCAGGTGCTGGCTGCTAAATATTAGCTGTGAAGAATAAGGTTAAGTGAGGGTCAAAGAAAGCCAGTGACCTCTAAGAAGTGATGTGAAGTCCAGGTATTCCTAGCCAAGGGTACAGCACGTGCATAGGTACCAAGATTATAGTATTCTGGAAACTGAAAGGCTGTTGCTGGGATACACCTACTAGGGCCTTGTAAACAGTGTTAATGATGGATTTTATTTTTTTTAAATGGCCAGGAAATTTTGAAGTTCAGCACAGGGTGGAGATATTCTAAAATTGACCTTTTTTTCTTTCTTATTAGAGAGTACATGTGCTTGTCAGACAGAAAGATAGTGATCGCACCCTTGCCCCTTAGACCATGGGGCATGGCCACGATGCAATCCTTTCTCCTTTTTTCTACCCTGTCATGATTTGGAGCACAGGTACTGCCGTGCAGCATGGCAAGGGGAGTTTTGGAAGGGAGGGGGGAGTATAAGGCTTAATAAAGATTTCAATCACTCTTATTGGCTGCCCAAGCAGTTACAGCCAGTCTGTGTTCTAGCCCACGGAAGGACAGGACTGAGGTTTGCCTTTCAGGTTACTTTAATCACACAGGGAAAAGGGGACTTACAAGTCACGATGGGACATGGTGCAGAGCGTCTTATGCTGGCACAATGTCAGGGAGTGCCGTCTACAAGGGCATAAGGGAGGCCCAGTGCCTAACTCGCTGGGCATCTACGAGGCACAGTAGGTGAGCCGGAAATGAGCTCCCGGAAGATCTTAGAGAATGAGATGGTGACGGTGGCCACAAGATGACTGAGGGCGAATGAGGAGGAAGAGTTCGACCGGTGATCTTGGAATATGGAGGTCAGGACTAGTGGCCGACAGTGGAGCATCAAAGATAGCTGAGAGAAAGGGAGGCATCTGGGAGAGGAGGAATCAGTGTGCTGAACTGACAGAGCCTCTGACTGCAAGGGAGATCTTAGATATAGTTAGACGGGCTCTGGCCTAAGCGGAGGACAGAGTTGATGAGCTGGGCTCAGGCTCCTTTTTATGTCTAGTTTTGACAGGCTCATGGTGACTTGACAAAACATCAAAATATTTTTGTAACATTTTACATGTAAGTCTATGGGATTTTGGTCAAAACAGTGGGATTTGTTTACGTATTTTTGCCAGTCATGAGGTGGGGTGAAGTATAGACCATGCTTATGTCCCTCAAGGTATCGGTCAGTATATGGCTAGTTTGCTATCAGTGATAAGCACTAGGGTGTTGGCTGAATGTTGAATTTCCGGAAACAACTAATGCCAGTCTGAATGTACTACAAAATGGAGTCAGGTATGCTCTCAGCAAGCAGCATTATACTCAAACATTTTCTTCACAGCAAACTACTCACTTAGCCATTAAACAATGTATCAAATGTTAACAATTCTTCACAGCCAGTAAAACAGCATTAGGTATAAGACAGGCATATCTCTCTCTTTTCCTAGTTGCTCGGTGTGGTATACTAACCACCTATTTGGCCATGTGGAACCCAGCTTCGTTAACCAACAGGCCACAGAGCTGGCCCCTGAAAATTTACTGAAGAGATAACTCTAGTCCCAGTATGGGTCAAATGGGACAAGCTGCAAGGAGACAAGTTGGAAGGAATGAAATCATTCATGGTAACAAATGAGTTCAGAGAGCTGGGTAACATCTACAGATAGAATCAATATTGGCTGTAAAGCATGGCACAGTAAATAAATACTGCTTGGTAAGATTTGTGAAAAGGGAAGAGGAACAGTCAAGGATGGCTCCTAAACATTTTTTTGGGGGGAGAGGTTTTTGCTATAGGGCACGTGTGCTCACCAGAAAGACAGAGAGACAGAAAGTGAGAAATCCCCCCCCGGGGGGATGGCCATGCCACAATCCCTTCTCCTCCATTCTCCTCTCGGGATTTTGGGCACGCACACACACATGCCTGGCATAAGTTTAAGCCACTGGATCTGGGACTCAAACTGCGGTCAGCTACATGGGAGTTCAGTGACATAGCCATTATGCTAACTGCTGGTCCCACTCCTAAACATTTGACCTGATCCAGCAGTACTATTTACCAAATTAGGGAATACAGCTGGAGGAGCTGGTTGGGGAAAGAGGGTGGAAATGTTAGGCATTATCTTCAAGGAGTCAGCTAAGTGATGATGTCAAAGAGGCATGTTAGATATAGGGCCTTTATGTAGAAGTCCCCGTTACCCATGATTTTGTTTTCTACAGGCTTCAGTTTCCTGTGGTCTCAGTTACCCATAGTCAATCAATGTCTGAGAGTATTAAATGTAAAGTTCCAGAAATAAACTATTTATGTTTAAAGGTCTATATCATTCATAGTAGTGTGATGAAATTTCCTGCTATCCCTGTCTATACTGCCTAGAATATGTCCATTTGTTCATTATATCAGCTGTGTGAGGGGGACATTAAGAAGTTTGTGGAAAAATGGAGTTAAAGTTCTAGTTTATATTGGAGCTGAAAACATTTCAAATACATTCATATTTTTTTGGTAATAGGCATTTTCCATGAACTTTTAGAAGACCCTCTTTTTTTTTTTTTTTTTTTTTTTTGGGAAGTTTTTTTGCTAAAGCGTCTCTGCGCTCGCCAGAAAGAGAGAGACAGAGAGACAGAAAGCAAGAAATCACCCCCCAGGGGGGATGGCCACACCGCAACCCCTCCCCCTCCAGTTTCCTCTCTGGATCTTGGGCATGCATGCACACATGCCCGCCGTGGGTTTAAGCCACTGAGTCCAGGACTCGAACCACTGTCGACCACATGGGAGTCCAGTGACATAGCTATTATGCTAACTGCTGGTCCCAGAAGACCCTCTTTTATATGCTAGTCACTGCCCATTACTCACTTAGAACACCTGGTTCAGATTAAGAAAATATGGAGTTTAATGCTATCCCGTTTCAGGTATCCATGGTGGGGATGGTGTCTGGAACATATTCTTAGTGGATACGGGACATATTACATAGCTTAGAGAAGAGAGCTAACCTAAGAGAGTTGGAAATTTTCAACATAAAATGAATATTGAAGCCATGAAAGTAGATGAGATTATTTAAGAAATATCTACAAGAGTGATCAACTGGCCAGTTGTAGGTTAAATTATCTACTTTTTAATATTATTATCACTATTATTCACAATTTATATATATATATATATATTTTTTTTTGATGAGAAGAGAGGGTAGCAGGAAGTGGGGGAGCGTAAGTATTAGGTTGTCGGGAAAGTCATGACATATTTTTCTGTTTTTCTATATAAAAATGCATCATAACTTTCCCAACAACCCAGTTGACGGTCTTTTTGACAGGATCTTGCCACGTCACAGTCCAGTCAGCTGGGATGGTAGGTATGTGACTGTGACTAGCCTATTTAAAGTGGGCTTGGAAGCAAACCTGGCCCTTTCATGTGACCTCAGCCACTGTGCAGTGGCACCAGTCTCCCTTGTGCCACCATGGCAGGGCCTACGCAAATTTTTTTTTTTTTTTAGATTTTTAACACTTTATTTATGTTTTATTATTATGTGTACTCTCCAGAGAGGGAAAGCAAGAAAGCAAGTCACCAGGTCCAGGACCCAAACTGCAGTCAGCCATGTGGGAGTATAGCACCTTAACCACCACACCACCTATTGGCTCCAAGTGATATACTTTAAGATGAAGAAACTGACATAAAAGTAGGCTTTATAGAATTCCACTTTATAGAAGTTTTTTCCTACACAATTGGATTGGACCAAATGGAGACTGCCTTTCTACATGGGACTTGAGCAATTTACCACCATTCCTACCACTTTCTCATGTCTTAGATTCAGTTTACATCATTCATTTTTGTTACTTGCCTAGTCCCTAAGACAGTTGATTTGGGACACCCTGGTTTGTGGAGTCAAAATGGATAATGATGTAGGACTTTGTCAATGAGCAGTATCAATGTTTTTGGATTAAATAGAAGAACCTTAAAGGACTGAGCATGGAGAAAGCTGGAAAACCGGAAGAATCAACATCAAGAAAGCCACGAGGGGAGAGGATTTCAAAAGGAAGAATTTAGTCTGCAGTGCCACATGTTGCCAAATGATCAAAACTAAATAAATAAAGACTAGGAATATTTTAGTATATTTAGCATCATGGACATCTTTGGTAGCGGACCTTAGCAAGAACAGATTTAGCAGATTTCTGGGAGAGGAGAGGGAAGGTGAGATGTCTATACAGAAGTAGGTTAAGGAATAATTAGGA